CTTGAGCAATTGATCCATTTTCAAACATTAAATTGGTATTGACCAGTTTTATCTGAACTCGCACTGTCTGCACAAACTCCCCTGCAGGTAAATTAACTCGGTAGTTTATGTCACTCTCCTCCTTGTTGGTGCATTCAGTAAAATCACAGGCTTGTAATTTTCTAACTCGGAACCTCTGAATATTTTGAAAAACGCTGATTACTTCGTGTTGCATTGTTTCCTCTCTTGGTTGGGATTTGGCTTTAAATTAGCCATCTAATATTTATGGGTGTTCATTAAGAATTTATTTATTTTTTTTAACAGTTTGGTTCTCCTTTAATTAACATTCAATAATGTTCTAAAACACTTGGCAGCCAAGTGGGCCCAGGGGTTGAGTGGAGACTGAAAGAAGAATGTAAAGCTTATTGAATTTAACACTAAACTAAAGGAGGAACTGTTACAAAATGCTTAATTTTTAGGACTCCTTCTAAGGTTGGATGTAGCTTTTTTCCTGGTCTTCTTTGTCATTCTTCAGGCGTGACTCTAGAAAGTCCTCTGTCAGAATAATCTTACAGCTGTTGCCACAAGTAAAAAATGTTGTTTATAAGCCTGGCGGTGGCATTAATGTTTATCCAGGAGCATGCTCTGGGATGTTTTAATAGTTTTCTTTCTATCTCCATTATGCATTTCTATATACAAATCATAAGAATTGTTTGGTACTCAGCATACTGGCCAGGAGTATACCTGAGCACATCTTTCCTTAAATTTTATTGCTGACTTTTTCTGATGGATGCAAAGCATGCTTTTTGTTTTACTATCTGTCAAGGCAAATTATTGATTGAAAACACAAGCACTCTTATGTTAAATGCACACTAATACGCTAATAATTATTCAGATGCTGCTTTGGGTTTTAATCTATTTGTTTTTCTTTAATCCTCTTACTGGAATAAAATGACAACAGAATAAGTTAAATCTGCAGCAGGGGTCAAAGTGCACATCAGGTTTACCACTTGTCAATGAATTTAATTTATGTTCTGGCAAGATCTCTGTGTCACCAGAGAGCCTTCTGTTCTTTGATCAAAGTTTTCCTACTATAAAGATCACCCAATGCACAAGGCTTTGGCGTGCATTCTATTTCTAATTATAAGAATGCTGAAACAACTGAAATATAAATATTATAAATATAAATATTATAATAATAAACATCTATATGCTTTGTGCATGTGGTGTCAATAAAAGACTCTTTCATAAGACCTCAGGCCAGGACTTAGACACCTTCTGACCACCTCAATGTGATTTCTAAATGGACCAATGCAGTGAGGGGGGTCGAAGCCAACCCACCACGGATGTGCCTTTGTGCCACAAGGCGAGCTATTAAAGCTGAAACCGTCAGCATGTATAAAGTTGAGCTGGTGCTGCGGCTCAATGATGTGATGAAGTACACCAGTCCTTTGTTTATTGCGGGGGATCTGTACCCTGAAGACCCGTGATAAGTGAAAAAAGGAATAGTAGTATAATGTCTGTCTGTCTGTCTGTCTGTCTGTCTGTCTGTCTGTCTGTCTGTACACACAGTGTATAAAGGCATTTTAAATCCTTTCCACACTCTTGCAATATTTTAAATGTTTCTAAACTTTAAATGCTCTTAAAGAGCACATAATGTCATGATTTCAGCTCCCTGCCTCCTCTGCTCTTTGTCACCTGGAAGTGCCCTTGGCCACGCCCACTTCTCTGCTCTGCACGCTGAACATTTGATCAGCTGCAGCAGGAAGTTTATCCTGCAGTATGGGCTGCACAAAGGTGCAGCTGGTGCTAAATTATTTAAAACAATTTATTTTAAATAAAAATTCCATGCCGATCGTGTGGCTCATCCATCAATCAGCCAATTGTGTGTAATGTCCAATCTTATTTAGAAAAACCGCGATAGAGCGAGTCCGTGATAAACGAACCGCGAAGTAGCGAGGGATTACTGTAATGACATTGGACTGTGAGACCACTTGGTTGTGAGACTAAATAACAAAAAAAATACAGATACATACATACAGATTTTTTTTTTGCCAAAGGTTAATGATTATGCACAATGTCTTGTGCTCCACGTCATCAGAGCTGAGTTCTGCTCCATGATTCTTTTGGTTCCATGATGCTCCTTTCTTTTCTGCACACTGGCTCCATTGGTGATTTTTAAATAGCCAGAAGCAACTTAAAGACAGACTGCTCTGTTCAGCCACTTTGCAGAATGTTTTAATGGCAGAGCCCATAAAGAGTGATCAGCTCCACCAGTAGCGCAAATCAGTCAGATCATTTGTTTGAAAACTTTCTGTTTGATTAGGCTAGCATGCTCAAAGTCATTTATAAGAATAATAAAATTGGAAATGTTCTGTTGTAGCTCTGTCTCCCGTGCAGCGGGGTGATCATGTTTGTGATTTAATTAAAGATGTTGGGACATTTTTGAGTATATTTAAAGAGATCAGTGTTTCTTTTGTGGTTTTATAAACCTTTACGGTTTACTTCTCTGTCCTCTATGTTTTCCTAATATATTCACAAGAAGACAGACATAGGAAAAAAAAGTGATGTTATGCATAACTAGTATTCCCTGAAGGAGAGGAATGAGGTACAATGCATAAAGTATGGGATATCACGCCCCTACGTGTCCTGGCTTAAGATGTCTCTAATCACACCTCTGGGCAAATGACATGATGAAAAAGCAACCACCGCTCGTGCTCTGAGCTCCATCACCATCCTCCAGATGTACCAGGCCATGTGCCTGCCGGAGCTCCGGTGCCTTCGGAGAGCCCTCTGATACCTCTCTTAAATGAGGTGAGAATCACAGCAAACTACTTCCTCCATGTGTCCCCCTGTTCAGCTCTATCCCTGGGTAGACGCATGGCATCGATGGTGGTGGCACAGAGACACCAGTGGTTCAGAGACACCAGTGGTTCAGAGACACCTGTGGTTCAGAGACACCAGTGGTTCAGAGACACCAGTGGTTCAGAGACACCAGTGGTCCAGAGACACCTGTGGTTCAGAGACACCAGTGGTTCAGAGACACCAGTGGTCCAGAGACACCTGTGGTTCAGAGACACCTGTGGTTCAGAGACGCCAGTGGTTCAGAGACACCTGTGGTTCAGAGACACCAGTGGTTCAGAGAGACACCAGTGGTTCAGAGACGCCAGTGGTTCAGAGACGCCAGTGGTTCAGAGACGCCAGTGGTTCAGAGACGCCAGTGGTTCAGAGACGCCAGTGGTTCAGAGACGCCAGTGGTTCAGAGACACCTGTGGTTCAGAGACACCTGTGGTTCAGAGACACCTGTGGTTCAGAGACACCTGTGGTTGACAAGCTCCCACAGCTTTATCGATGTTTTGCTTTCTTGGGCTTAAAGAATTAACGGGCATTTACAAAATAAGCTGCTACATCATTGTTCCTCAAAATCTCCAAATTGTATGTGCAATATACGCAATATTTGAAAACTGTAAAACCACAACAACCAACAAACATCTACATGCATCAAATGGGTCCATTTTATTTCTGTAGTCAGTTTATCCTTTGTCCAATGCCTAACTCCTATGTGTCTTTGCCTCCCTTGGTCTTCTTAACATTTGGTTAAATTTTTCCTTATTTACAGATGAATATAATATGCTGAATACACCACTGATGCAACAGTCATGCCCACATTATCTTTAGGTTCACAGGTAATATTACATTTGAGAACACGGTGCATGAACTGAGCACTGCTCTCATATCCAATTAAAATCAAACCTGCTTTTTATTTTCTTGGATTTTTATTCAGAACGACAACCCACATGGAGAAGCTAATAGAAGCTGTTTGAGGAAGAGAGCTGATGGCTCCAGGGCTTCACTAATACTCATTTACAGATCATGCAGGAGATAATCTTTGGGTATCCGTTCACAGCCTCGGATGCCCATTAGCAGCCAAAGACAAGTTCCTGAACAGGCTGCAGCATAGTAGAAAGTCGAATCCCCTTTTTGTTGCGTAGGGTGCCATTCTACAATCATTTCACCGTACATGCCTTTATGTCCAGCGATGTCAAATGGCTTGCTTCCCATGTTCAAGAGGACAAAAGCTGCTCTCAGACCAATCCAATTGTCTCCAGTGAAGACAATCGTATTGCTGTCAGCTTTGTCCTTCATGAAAACTCCCTCTAGAGACAAAAACAGGATTTGTACTGAGCATTCCTCTTGAGCTTTGGTGACTGAACGAGGACAACCAGTTCAGTCAATTTACAACAAATGCCAAGGCAGGCTAAGGTATTTAGCAGCTGCTGGCTGAGACCTCCAAACCCATTAGGGAAACATTGGTAGGGCATATTTAATAAGCCTATTATTACTGCAGTTTATAATGTTTTTATGTGTGCAACTTACTGTACGTCTTGATTTTATCAACAGCCATAGACGGTCTCTCGTTGCCTCCCTCCCTGTGTAAATGTATTTCTGTGTGGCAAATCACAGTGGAAGTGTCAGTTTATTTCTCCTCCTTTTTATCACATCCCCATCCCACGAGGAAACAAACTATCCTTTTATTGCAATGAAAGGCTCCCTGACTCAGATCACAGCGGAGGGCTCGCATCGCTCTTGTTATTTTTGATGCTTCAGTCCCACATCATCGACGCAGTCTTCCTTGTATCAATGGTAAAGAGCGGGGTCAATTCTTTTCACTTTCAGAAGGTTTTCACAGCAAAGAAATGACAAGTAACATGGCCCCCCACCCCCATCCTCACTCCCCCTCAAGCCTGCTGAATCCTGTTTCCTGACAGCATCGTTCTCCTGCCACTCTTACTTCAAGCCTGCCTTTCATGTCTGTAAACTGCACAACAACTTGGCACTCCTGCGAGCTTGTGATCGTTTACCTTTGTCTTTTAATGCACGGCAGTACTCCCTGATAAAACATCACTCCTGTTCTCTCCATCAAAATAGGATTTCAGTGTCACGTTTTGTTCCACAAATGAACATTTGTGCTTCTTCTTCACGCGGCTCTGTCTAAACTAACGCCCTTGTGTGTCTCGTAGGTAACATCAATGAATGCCAGCTGCACTACTACTTCTTCCTCCTGGCAGGCATCCAGGGCGTCACCTTGCTGGTTTTCCTTATCGTCTCTGTCAAGTATGACAGGCAGAAAGTCAGAGTAGGAAGTATGCGGCAGAGACACACCTCCTCTTGACCTCAGCACACTTCCCAGTGACCCCCCCCCAAGAACTCCTGCCTTCTGACACAAAACACAAAGATCTTGTGGGATTGGTACCTACTAATGATACTACAGCTGCATTAGCTATTATTGTGTCCTGATTGTACACCTATTTATGTTTGTTTTGACTTTTTATTGAGGATTTTTTTCTCGTCTTATGGTTCAATGGTTTTCTGTTGTTTGAAGGCACTGTAAGAAAAAAAAATGTATCCATGAATCTTGTTTGAATCATTTCTGCTGTGTCAGCTCCTGTTGACTGTCTTTGATTGTTTGCACTCAACTTGAGGAGTGGTGCCATAAATTCATCAAAAAACAATATTTTCTTAACACAAAGGAAGGTCAATAGTTTTATAGATATAGATTTAGCTCTTTAAAACAAAATATACTATTATCTTACTATGAACTTATTGTTGATCTAATTATTTTTGTGATTCCAACATGGATCATTTATGTTTACAGTTTAAATTTCTGATGTTAGTTCGTTGAATGTGAGCTCTGACAGTTTTACAGCATGTTGCACAAAATGTTAAATTACTTGTAAACCAAGAATTTATTGTCAGATTTGAACATTTTTTTCTTGTTATACTCGCAACAAGAGGTGGACTTTCTGTTGGACATATCTTTATTCAAAGAATAATCACATTTAGATTTATTTTTATTAAATCCTATAATAAAATCTAATACACAGTGCTCAATGTTTCTGCCGCTTTGATTGCATTTGGCACTGCAAAGCTGCATAAATCCACCCGTGGAGTCCACTGTAAATCCTCACATGGCCTCATGTTAAAAATCTTCTGAGAGTCCCATCAAAGCTTCCCAGTAGTTTTTAATTTCTGGTCATTTTACAAAATTGCACCTCCTTCTCATGACAATCAACTAATTAGTAATCTGATTAGCCGCAGCCAGGAGCATAAACCTTTAAACACTTGTCAGATAAAGGTGCGGATCATTAAAAAAAATGATGCGAAACATAAAATATCAAAAATATAACACATCCACCTTGATATCATATCTGCATTTAAACTTTAAAAATCCTAACTCTCGGTATTTGCTCAATGTTATCACTTCTTTGTTGTTTAGATTATTTTTTTTAATCCTGTTTTGTTTATTTGTAAGACTATGTTGCATTTACTTGTGTTATATACTGTTAAATAAAAGCATGTGTGTGTCTAGGGGTGTGTATTATTATCTTTTTTTTTCTCTGTTGTTTAAATTAGAGTACGAGTTCCAGGATTTTATAATGAGAAGTTCTCAGGGCTTTAGGAATGATGTCAAGTAATAAAGTTACTCCAGGAAATTTAAAGCTGCCTTTGGGAGCTCAGACGTGTGTTTATTGTCTGCTGTAAGTAAAGTCACAATAAAAGTAAGCGCACATAAAGAGCCTGGATCTGCCTGCTCCCTAACAGTACAAACTGAGTGGAACGGAGATTTTACTTTGTGTTTATTAAATGCTAAATATCGGTTCCTTGTGTATGTATATTCTTCCTCATTTCAGATGTAGTGTGATTTATTACATTTATACTGAAATATTATCTGATAGAGAACTGGAAGTTTTTGTTTTTACTTTTGTGCCAAATAAAGTATATTGCTTTAAAACCTGGCTTTATCTTTTATTCACAATTCTTAAAACTATATGAAGTTTCAACAAATGTACCGCAGATATTGTTTTTGTCTCATTCTTTAACATTGCTTCCCCCCCCAACATATTCAGTGGTTTCAGATGCACATGCTGCTTTTTGGGTAATCCAGATTTGATTTAATTCAGTTCAGTTAATTTATATAGCGCCAAATCACAACAGAAGTCATCTCCGGACACTAAACAGGAACATTCACATACATATCCAAAAAAGTTCAATCTGGTCCTCTGGACATTCAAAAAAACAAAAGCAAAACAAAGCAAAAAAAATTCTAGAAACGTTTCGTCTCTCATCCAAGAGACTTCCTCAGTCTGAGGTGCTGTTTTCAGCTCAGTCTCTTAAATAGCACCTTCTTAGAGTGGATCAACCAGTTTGCTGCTGACAACCAAAACCAGCTGATCACATGCTCAAGAAGGACCATCAGCCTAACAATGGATCATTAGCACACTGATGGCTGTTTACTGTTCACAGGGGGCTGAGTGATACTAGCAATCACAGCATTGTAAGAGGGGGACAGTTGAACCCGGAGGCCTCCACCCCTGTTTAATGATGGACGATTTCTTTTCACAAAGATGGCCTCCTTTACTCCTCTCTCAAACCATCGTTCCTCTCTGTCCAGGATGTGAACATCTTCATCCTTGAAAGAGTGACCGCTGGCCTGGAGATGAGTGTAGACCGCAGAGTCCTGGCCTGATGATGTTGATCTTCTGTGCTGGGCCATCCTTTTGGCCAGTGGCTGTTTTGTTTCCCCGATGTAAGACTGATCACAGCCCTCCTGACGATAAGTGATCAGCTGGTTTTGGTTGTCAGCAGCAAACTGGTTGATCCACTCTAAGAAGGTGCTATTTAAGAGACTGAGCTGAAAACAGCACCTCAGACTGAGGAAGTCTCTTGGATGAGAGACGAAACGTTTCTAGAATTTTTTTTGCTTTGTTTTGCTTTTGTTTGTTGTTTTTTTGAATGTCCAGAGGACCAGATTGGACTTTTTTGGATTTTTCTACCTGGATTATTGAGCATGCATCAAGATATTCACATACATACAAAAGTCACTTGGTAAAGTTATCTAAGGAAGGAAGCCAGCAGATTAGTTGAATCTTCCCTTGGTCTCCCGTCCTGAGCAAGCACAAAGGCAACAGTGGAAAGGAAAAACTCCCTTTAAACAGGAATAAACCTTTAGCAGAACCAGGCTCAGGACAAGCAGCCATCAGCTTCGACCGGCTGGTTTGAGAGGACAGGAAGGAGAAACGGACAAACAGAATGGCAGAACCAGATGTAGGGGCAGGTGAACCTCCTACTGGAAGAAAGACAGAAAACACGTCAAGGATGGAAGTAAATGCAAAACAGGTAGAGCAAATAAAGACCACAGCAGAGTGAAGAAATGTGGTCACTTTGTCCTCCAGCAGTCTTAAGCCTATAGCAGCATAACTGACAGCTCAGGAAACCCAAGCTGACCCTAACCATAGGATTTATCAAAAAAGAAAGTCTTAAGCCCAGTCTTCAAACTGGACAATGTGTCAGTCTCACAGACAGAAACTGGAAGTTGCTTCAAGAGGAGCCTGATAACTGAAAGATCTTCCTCCCATTCTGCTTTTGGAAACTAGGAACCACGTGTAAACCTGCAGTCTGAGAGTGAAGTGCTCTGTTAGGAAAATATGGAACAATAAGATCTGTAATATAAGATGGAGCTAGGTTGTTGAGGGCTTTGTAGGTTAGAAATAAGATTTTGAATTCAATTCTGAATTTGACAGGGAGCCAATGGAGATAAACTGAAACTGGAGAAATCTGATCTCTCCTTTCAACTCTCACATTTACTGACACTGAAATGTAAAACAAAAAGTTACCCTAAATTTTTAATCTGTATAAAATCAATTCTAGGTCCTATTTTTGGACGTACAATATAAACAAACACGAAAAGCATCAGAAATCAATAGAAAGCTGCCGTAGATTGTTCAGGCTCATGTTTTAAAAGCATGTTCTTTAATTACAACGTGCCTTTAAAGTATACTTTCATTATCAGAGCTGCGGTTCATCAGTCTGAAGACAAATTCAAAGTACTGTGGTTCAATTATTTATTCTACACTAAAAAGCATGCCTTTAGACAGGGTGTAAGGAAAGAGATTGTAACACAGAGGTGTAAAGCTGCTCCTTGTATTCCCACTGGGAAAAAGAACGTATTTCCTCAGAGTTTCATCAGACGCTGATTGAAATCAACGTCCTCACAGATCATTTTTTAATGCCAAGGCCTTCCGTCCACGAGGCTCAGAGAAAACCGTTTCCTGTTTAATTTGGTCAGAGAGCCGCACAGCCACGGCTGAGAAGACAGCTTGATGTTTGAAACTTACACAACACCTCCGGGTCATAACTCTAGTCCCATGTTGAGAAGAATATCTGACACATTGAAACAGTGACAGAGACAGAACTGCAAGGCAACGGCAATGATATGTTCAGTTTTGGCACTGGCCTCAATGTGCTCTGAGGTGATTTATGAGACAGAATTTAGGCAAACAACTGCTCCCATGAGAGCACACTTGTATACATTTCTACATGCTGCCATAGTCTTTTCCTCCCTACATTTTAAAGGGATAGTTTGGTCATTTTTGAAGTGCTGTTCGGTCAAATAATTGTCATTTAGGACTAGGGCTTGAACGAGTATATAATTTTTAAACTCGACATTAACATAATAAAACCCGAGTAGAACTCGAGTATTTGATGACGTCATAGGTCTCAAGATACAAAAATAAATAAATAAATAAAACCGCAATTAAAGGTAATTATTTACAACAATAAAAGACCAACAAAACATTGGGAGCGTATATTATGCTCCTACCATTTATCATACTGCAAATAAGTCACAGGAAAAACTAAACTATTAGTTATTATTATTAAACTGCAAACGTGAAGAAACGCAGCACGTCAAAAACGAAACTTAAACCGAAACTGGTTCTGGTTCGGTGGATTGGACCCGGTGTTACACCATATTCTGTGACCTGCAACAGTGCAACACCGCCCCCTACGGTCATACGGTGGTCACATAATATGACGTCACTACGGTTACTCGACATTACATTGTTAACCTCGATAGAGGTCCTAGCAATCGATGTGTAGATTACTCGAGTACTCTGTTAATGCCCTATTTAGGACTCAGTCATGAAGCAGGAAGTACTGAGAATATGTAAAATGTTTTCCTGGAATTACAGAAATTACCTAATACTAAACCTTTACACCACATGTGTTAAACTCGAGGCGCGCAAGTCAAATCTGCCCCCACCCCACCCCCCAGGGTGATACTTTAAAGGGATTTTTTTTTTCAATCTCTCCTCATTTTGCTTCAAAAAATGTACAATTACTTTAGTTAATGCATGGACTGAAAATGTCCCATAACTTGGACCATGTT